CTTGGAAATGAGATTTTTAATCTCAATAAGATTTTTTACCTGGATAAATAAAGGACTAATAAAATAAATAAATAAAAAAAAGAGTGAATCCCAATCTTTACAGTGACTTGGAACACTCAGTCATAGAGTCACTGCTGAATCGGCTTTAAACCATTACACCATTGGCAGGATGAAGCCTCGATGCCACTGGTGTAATGGTTGGCAGGATGGATCCATGCATTCATGCTGTTTACACCAAATTCTGACCCTACCATCTAAATGTTGCAACAGAATTCAAGACTCATCGGAGCAGATTATATTTTTCCAGTCTTTTATTGTTCAATATTGAACTTCAGCTTCCTGTTTTTAGCTGACAGAAGCAGCAACCCGTGTGGTTTTTTGCTGCTGTGTCAGGTTCAACGTTTTATGTGTTCAGAGACGCTCTTCTGCTTAAACTCCGTGACTATTTGAGTTACTATTGCTTTCCTAGCTTTAAGCAGTCTGGCTATTCTCTGCTAGCATCACCAAGGCATTTTCACCCACAGGACTGCCGCTCACTGTATATTTTCTCTTTTTTGGGACCATTCTCTGTAAACCATACAGACTGTTAGACATTTGCATCAACAGGCTAAACAAACAGTGTGTCCAGTGAACTCTCCATCTACCAAAACACAGCAAGAGGTAGTCATGTCAAGATGAAAACACATTTTAAAGTAGCAGAAGCTGCTCTAAATCAGCACATACAGATATTAAACAAGATGTGAATGAACATGTTCCCTGGAATACAACAAGACATCTGCTAATCAGAGGGCAAGTTTGGAGGGTTATCCATGCAGCCAACGGCGGGGTACCAAATCTTAATATGACCTAAAGCATCAAAAAGGTCAAAGGCCGCTTTGTGTTTCTAGACTGCGAGTTGTTAAGGTGATTAGTGAGACACAAGGGTGAACTTGATGAAAATGTGTGAAGTGATGAGGAGGATGTCTTTACTCACCTCGGAGGCATGGGGCCGCATAACGTTACGCAGCAGTTCGTTATAATGCTGTTATAAGTGTATGGGTTTTCAGACTCCTCTGCACCCCTTTTACTTGACCAGGATCCCTTTATCTGCATGACAAGTAAGCTGTGAGCTCCACAGTTTTCAGCATTTTATGTGTATTTTAACAAAAATCAAACAATCGTGAATTCAGCTTTGCCACATCAGAATAGCACTACTCACGTCTTCATTAGTGGTGAGATTAGAAGCTACTAAGTAGGTGTGAAAGCCTGAGAGGCCCAAAATAGACCAGATGGAGAAGAAACAAATCACCAACTCCACCACAGTGCACAAAGAAAGTCAAGGTATAACAT